ATCTTTATCAATTTAATCACTTATTGTTTTTTAGTCATTTTATGTCAATTTTTTCTCGTATTATTATTTTTTTCAATTGTTAAAATACACAGAGAAAAAAAAAGAAAAAAAAGGCAGCTTGGCCCGGACTCGAACCAGAGCTTTTTGATTTGAGTAAATTTCTCTAAAATTTATTTGTGAACCAAATCAACAAAAATTGTGTCTTAATTGATAAAATATATAATTTTTTGTATTTTTATAATTTAGTTTTATTGTTTTCTAATTTTTTATGTTTATTTTATAAATTTTTATGAAAAAAAAAAAACAAAAATCAAATTCTAATTAAAAACTTACACATAAAAAAGTTGTTTATCAAATTGGCTGTGAAAATCACTAAAAAAGTAAAAATTTCAAATAAAATATTTACAGATTTCAATACGAGAAGCTAATATGTAAATTAAAAAAAATAATCTGAGATAAAACAGAAAAAAAAAATGTACAAAATCGAATTCATTGTTTTGTTTCAAGATTAAAAAAAATAAGCCTCGACAGTGTTGCAAGAACAGTTTATTGTTATTGTTAAATTGGCAACATTGCAAAATGTGTAAAATTTAGATTCCAGTGATTTAAATCAAAATTTCAAAATTCAAGAAAATCACAAAAAAATCCACATTTTTTTCGTTAAAATCCCTAATAACAGAGATATTAGACCCAAAAATCTTAGGTGGGTCACCCTGTATTTGTATTTGCTCTAGTGGAGAGCGCAAATATGGCACTTAATAAAGACAGGAAATGCAATAACCGGCTTTTAACTTGTATTAAAACTTTTACTATTTATCCATCGATGAGCAAACATGGACGAATATGAATCTTGAATTGAAAATAAAAGAAAAAAAAACACTTGGTTGTGAAACAATTTCTCTAATGTAGATACGCAATCAAAATGTAAATAAAAAATGATCGACATATTCGCATTTGATCAAAAAATAAACATTTCTCACTTAATTAAAGATAAATTCGTAGAATATAACATTGTTTCAGGCTCGAAATGAAATATCTCAAAAGATATTTTCGTCGGCTTTCAAGCGGGACGTTGTTTTAAGAGAGAAATTCGATTTTTACATGAGTACATTATGCCGGAATGCGTAAGGTCGTTAAGATAAACATCGTTGAGAATTTTAATGCGAAAGTAACGAGGGATATATTATTTTATATTACATTCATTATTGTTTACTTATTCTTTTTGAGAAGAACAATTTTTATTTTTTTTTTTGGAAAAAATTTGTTCAAGTTTAATTAAGTAAAGAGATCGAAGGGTTCTAAGAGTGATTGTCACACCAGACAGCAGCAGTTAATGGGCCGAGAAACGACTCGCATTTGCATGATTGTCACAAAAGACAAGGATTAATAAGGACAGTGGCGACAGCTGCATCCTTAAGAGCAAATAACAGTACAAAAAAAATTAAAATTGCTCGATATTATGAAAAATCGCAAAAAACGCTTTTTTAATCACCAGTTTTGAGTTTTTTTACAAACACATTTTCTCAATCTCCCCTGTATATTCTTTAATTTTTGTATTAATTTTATACACAATCTCATACTTTTATTGTTCTTTCTTTATATAGTCTTTAAACTTTCAAAATATCCTTTACTC